TATTAATAAATATAATATTAATAATATTAAATATAATAATAATAATAATTATTATTATTATTATTATTATTATTATAAGATTCTCATGATTTTGAGATTCCTGAGAATTTGAATAACACCATGTTAGGTGGTATTCAGATTACCTTAAAATGAAGGAAAGTGAATCCCATGGTAATCACTTTCCTGAAAATCTAAATATTATAGTTCTTGTACCAAACATGATAATATTGCAAATTCTCATTCTCATCCTTAAGATTACTACATACCAAAAGCCATTCAGATTACCTTAAAATGAGGGAAAGTGAATCCCATGGTAATCACTTTTCTGAAAATCTAAATATTATAGTTCTTGTACCAAACATGATAATATTGTAAATTCTCATTCTCATCCTTAAGATTACTACATACCAAAAGCTCCTAAACAGTAAAAGCACGGCATGCTAGAAAACAATAGCTAACGAGCAATGACACGAGTGCCATTACTATATCAAATATTTGAACCCAATAGTCATCTGAAAATGTAATGCAGCTAAAAATAGGACAAAATATGAATACATGAATCTCTGTTTTTACAATGAAGCATTTTTTGTTTTTCACAAACGAAACACAGTGAAAAAGCAAAACGAAAAGGGGGGAAAAACTACATGATTTCTGAATTCTAACGCCAAACCTAATTCAAGATGCAGTCAGTTCAGCTTTTCTATCTTCCAAAAGCTTTAGTTCCTGGCGCCAACCTTCAAGCTTTGAAAATTTCTTCAACTGCTCTGGTTTCATATCCTGCTCCGGAGTTTTCTGTTTCTGAGCTTCAGTAAGTCGAATCTGCAGTAGAAACCAGCAGCCAGATAAAAGGAAACTGTTCAAAAACCTTTATGTGACCTTTTTAGTGTTTCACCAAAAAAACTCGAAAATCTGATAGAAACAGGCCACATTTAAAAGGAATGGAGACATAAAGGATTAACTGCATTAACCAATGCATACAAAATTTTAACGGAAAACCAAAAAAAAAAAAAATATATATATATATAGTAACGAAAGCCAATCCTTTTTACATAACATCCTTCAAGGCAACTATGACAGTAAGCACCCAGACAATGATGTACAAACATTCAAAAGTACAATAATATGATAACTGGAGTTGTCCCAATGATGTAAACGAATGGTACACCTATGTAGAAGTTATTTCTACTTGAATTATGCACATTTTAGGTGGCTCTGGCCACATCAAATTCAATGTCCACTCCGTATTAACTTAATTTACAACGTATATACCTCCTCCAGTCAACTTCAACGTCCTAAAGCTTCCACGAGTTTTAGAGATACTGTTTAACATCCACTTTTGGAAATAACAAAGATATACTCATCGAAAACTGCACCATGAAATGAAATTCTGGGTAACTGTCTGACATGTATAAAAAAGGGGGACGGGACATATTTCCTGAGAGCCAACAGGTACTATATCAATAATTTTGCCATCATTTACAGGCATAGTTATACACTTAAGTACCTTCTTTTTAAGAGCTCGAATCTGTTTATCAATATCTTGAATGGGATCCCCTGGATTTGAATCCTCTGTCGAGTCAGGAGGAATAACTGGTCCAGGATTTGCAGAAACAGCTAGCTCACTCACTTGTGATGCCAATGAGTTCACAGATTCTGATCCACAATCAATGCTATTCTCAAGAGGTACGAGTTCTTCCTTTTTACAATCCCCTTCTATTTCTCCTAAGTTCTTTCCTTTTTCAAGAGCAGCCTGCAGAAGAAACCACAATGATATTGCTCATCAAGAAACTACCTTTTCAGAAAAAAATACGATGAAGTACAAAATAAGGATAAAACACTGACATGCTTAAGTTCATGACATTTTAACGCTTCTAAACAGAGTATTCAAAAAATTAAGTTGCATCCTGATATTTGCATTACAGCACGACTCTGAAGATACTGGGTCAAAATTCAAATGCCTGATGAATGATGCAAGATCATACTCTATGATAATGGAAACAAGGAGATCAACTCTCTCTTTTTTCTTTTCCAACAACAGAGAAATTTTATTAAAGAAAACAGGAACTATTAGAAAGGGAGCCGAGAGGTACATGATCTACCTAAGCCACAAGAAACAAACCAAAAAACAAACAAAGCTAAATTCTTTGACTTCAAATAGCCATTACTTGCTTTGACCACCAGTCACCATATGGAGTTTTTTATTCCAACAGAAACCTTTATATGCATATGCATAACAAGCTAAATTCTTAATTTTCAAACAACAAATTCCACGCCACCAGATTATCACTGGAGAACTCATCCTTCCCCTAGAAAATAAATAAAAGGTAAAAAAATCCCACATGTTTTCCAGCTTTGTAATAATCTTTCCAGAAATTTTGAATAGGGACGTGAATGCTTGAAAGGACCAATTAAATCATTATGAACCTCCTTACTCTTGATAAACATGCTTTTTTCAGCCCATCAAGTCTTTCTCAACACCTTTTCACATAAAATAAGGCTTACAACGCAAAAGGGTTGCAACTTCCAAGATACATCAAGGGGCCAACTACCTACCACCCAACTTGAGCATTGAGGCTAGCCGCATTACCTTATTGTTTTCCAAATAGATCCCGCCAAAATACTTAAAAACCATTTAGATTTCAAGCATGAAACAAAGTTGATAATATCCAACACCTGACCAAATTCTCAAATTCTCTTCATTTTATTTGGCCATAATGAAAGACCTGCAAATTGGAAACGAGAAACTACGTACTTCTGACTCTACCCATGTAAAATCCTTCAACAGTATCGCATTACTTGGCTTTATCAAACATTCTTAATAAAAACCAACCACCAAAGAAATTAAAATGGAAAACCGGGGATCCCCTTGGTTTAATGAGTCCCCTATAAGCACCTAATTTCCATGTGCCCTCCAGGTTTAATCACATCATTGTTGGAAGAAAGAAATATAGACGGCCCCACTCATAAAATAAGGCCAACTGAAGTAATTAAACCCCTCTAAACTTCCAACATGACTTGCATAGGGGTAAAAGAGCTGAAAAAATCATATAGATTTGGCATCTAAAAAGTTCCTGGAATCTGGTGGTGCATTGCCCATGACTCTTCAATTGGCTAATCATTCAAAAGCCACCAATTATGTACCATTTTGACGCGCACAAAGATGTAACAATATATTTGAAAAGCTAAAAGGAGCTCCTCTGCCAAGTCCAATAACCAATGGAACTCCGGATGCTGGTTTTCAGATACCAAAACACGATGTTAATCAAATTACAGATATCCTCCTCAACTTAGAGTTTATATCAATTGTCTGAAAATTTTCTAAATGATCTTCAGTTCTTGCATATGGTAGAAATGTGAGGTAATCCAACACAATTTGTTCATCTGACATTACCCTAACATGACTCAAAGGGGGAAAAGGTGACTTTTAGTGAATTAAAATTAAAAATAATATTATACATTTAAAAAGTTCAAGCATAGGAGTAGTTTTACTAAAATTTATTCTCTCTAGTGTTTTCTTCATTTTTTAACTACAATTTCTTTCTCTACAGTTTTCTCATTTTCCTTTAACTAAAAGTTCTTTCATTTTGTTTAAACCTACTAATCGAATTTCTCTCCAACAAATAACATAGTTATAAATGCGTAATTCCAACGTAAAGGCAGCACTATAGATCTTATAAAAGCCAAGATATTGCATGCGTCCAATACTCCAATTCATAGATAATTGCTCAATTCAAGAGTTTATCCAAACAAAGCAAGGCAAGAAAAGCAAATTTAGCCAAAAATAAACAGATACTAAATGCAGAAAAATGTTCATAAAATCAAAAGGGAAGATAATGACAAAAGAACAAACAAATGTGCAAGTGATATAAAAACCTGTAGCCGCTTCTCCTTCTTCCTTTCATTTCTCTTTACAGACTTGGTTTTTGACTTCATATCTGGGGCCGGTTCAAACCCAGGAGGCACATTTGAAGCCATCTCCTTTTTCAACTGCATTATGAAAAGACAACAATTTAGCTTTGTTGATCGATGTTCTTGATAAAAAAATGCATTATGTTTAAGAGCCTCGAAAAATTCAGGTGAAAAAAAAAAGAACAAGAATCACACTTTCAAATATTAGGCTCCTAATTTCTAAAAACCCAACTTTATTAGTCATAAAGAGAAAAATCCATGTACTTAGATTCTCTTCTTTTTTCCAAACAAGAAATATAGTTAAACTATCAAAAACAGAGACACAAAACATGATAACATAAGCCATGATGGCTCTTTATACACACGTACAAGTACAATTTCATGCCAATTCCTTTCCTTTTTTTTTTTTTTTTTGAGTTTCCTGATCAACCAAACAAGAAGATAAGAAACGAACAATGTTCCATTCCATGGCCTAGAGAAACACAGAACAAATACAAAATGAAATGAAAACCAAGAATCATATTCTTGAACGCCCTAAAAAGAGAAAACATAAAACTTTACACTAATTAAAAAGAAAAGTTGGTTTAATCAGATTCTAATCCTTTTGCCAACCATTAGAGAATAAAAGTAAAAAATCAGGTCATGATCAGTAACATAAGTCAGAATAAGTGGTTAGATACGAAGAAATTGCACTTTCTCAAGTTTTGATTTTTCCGAGCAACCAAACAGAAAAAGAAGAAGAGGAGAAGATTAGGAAAGGAAACAATGGGTTCGTACCAAAGAGCCTTTGGATTGGTAAATGGCGACTTCGTCTTGAGGGACATAGCCGGCGCGAATACGAATGGGTTTGCGAAGAGTTCCGTCTGGCCTCCGCGTTGGCGCGAGAATTCTCTCACCTTCTTTTAGGGTTTTACTGAGCTCCGCCAGTTTCTTCAGTTCCTCTTGCTGCTCTTCTCCTCCGCCATTGTTAGTGCTCGCCATAGGGATTTTTTCGAAAATCGAAGGGACTTGATTGGTCTCTGGTGTTTGATTTGGCTACTGTTTCTCCATTTCTCCGATATCGGAATTTCAAGCACGGACTTGCGGGAAGAAGAAGAGCAAGGTTTTTGGCTTTCCATGCTCTTTTATTGTTTTTCTCTCTATTATTTATTTGTTTGTTTGTTTATTATTATTTTTCCCCCAATATTACAAAGCGAAAATGTTTTTATCTTTCTTTTAAAAAAAAAGATTTATTATTATTTTTCCCCCAATATTACAAAGCGAAAATGTTTTTATCTTTTTTTTTAAAAAAAAGATTTTTTTTAATACTAAAAGAGAAAATGTAACTAATTATTTAATAGGTTTTTATAAAATTTAAAACTCTTCATCAATTTTAGTGAAATGAAATAAAATTAGCAAATAAAAATGAAAATTTAGAAAATAATTGTCAAAATTAAAAGTTTAAGAATTAAAATACGATAATATTCATGAGGCGGATGTAATTCGTATAAAAAAAATATGTTTCCAGAGTACTATAAAAAATAAAAAAATAAAAAATGAATCCTTCCTCTCACGATTAAAGAAATGTGAAAGTGTCTCTCTTTATATAAGAACGATACGTTTTGAGGTGTGAGGTTTCTTGTCTTCAAATCAATACTTTGTTGGCATCAAATTGACATAAGCTATGGCCATTTTGAAGGTGTAGAAAGGGATGTGCCCTCTAAGGTGGTCTTTTACCCTATGGCAGATGTTAGTAGTTTGAGTCTGCTTAACTCGTGAACTTAGTCAATACAAAACTATATGGTAACTCGCACATTTAAACAAGATGCTTGTAAACTTTGAACGCTAAAGTTGTAAAAATTATGATAAATTTTTGGACCGACACGGTAAATTAATAGACCGGCACGGTGCCTTGAAGGTACCATAGAAAGAAACTGCTATGATTTAGCATTCAAAACGTTGATAAGATCCTTCCATTTAATAGCATCTTAATCTTAAAATTAATGGACGAGAAAGGCTTAATGTGGATATCTGAGCACCCAGAGACGAGAAAAGGCGTAATGAGTAATGAAATGCTTCAAAGAGTTGAAAATAAGTGAAGATTTAGATATTCCGAAATAGGTCATTCTTAACGATGTATATTCTTGTGTGGATACCTAAGGGAGAGTCTTAAGAAAGTGGCTATATAAATTTGTGAAAGAAACATTCTTGAGAATGCTTTTTCTATGTGAAATAAGTAATTACCTGCAACTATTACCAATTTGGTTGCAGCAAGAATATTCAGACGATTTCTTGTTATGAGTAGACTATAAACACGCCATTCTTCATCTAAACGGAGAAGAATGTAACGAGAAACGATAAAGAGGAATGAAAGAGGGTGTATGAGAGAATAAGAAAGATTTTAGTTAAAGTTCCTAAATCAACTTTTTTCTCCATTTCTCTATTTTGCTATTTATCTATTTTGTTTCGATAATAGCTCTACGTTTATCTTCTCATTGATAATATTAGAAAGAAGTTTTTTGAAACTATTTGCATCGTCCCCCCGGCGGAATATGTGCTTCTAAAAGATTTTTGATATTGTGCCCAATCCCGAAATTAGTTCTATACATATGACCAACAATAAGAAAAACAAATGCAATAGCTAAATGATGATGAGCAATATCGGTCAGCCATAAACTTTGCATTTGTGGATGGAATCCCCCGAGAAGGGTTAGAATGGCAGTTCCTGCTCCTTGGGAGGTACCAAATAAATGACTACTTGAATCAGGGTTTTGAGCATAAAGATTCCACTGACCCGTAAAAAGTGGGCCTAATCCTTGGGGATGCGGCAATACGTCTAAGAAATTATTCCATCGAACGTATTCCCCCTAGATCCAGGAATATCAACATGAACTAAATGTCCTGTCCAAGCCAAGGAGCTTACTCCGAATAGCCCTGACAAATGATGATTGAGACAAGATTCGGCATTTTTAAACCACGAAACGCTCGGTTTTCATTTCGGTTGTAGGTGTAACCAACCCGCTATTAAAGATATGGCCGAAATAAATAATAGAAAAAGAGCTCCATTATAAACTTTTTACCAGTCGTAAAAAAAAAATTTACTTGAAAAGAAATTTTTTACTTAGCCGTAAATAAACCGTTTACACGGTATGATTCATTTACCATGTAAACTGCTATTTATTTTAAATAATTTTAAAATATGCTATTTATTTAATTTAGTTTTATAAATGTGTTATTTACTACATTGTCTTAAAAAAAATCTAATAGCATTATTTCTATTGGATTCATAAATCATATTAGATTATTTGCAAAAATAATATTTTAAAAAAAGAGGGAAGACAAAAAAAAGATGAAGAAAAGGAAGGAAAATCAAAATAAAAAATAAATTCTTTAGTTGGGGAAGAGGGTTGAAAAAAAAAAAGGCATGGATATGTATGAGAGAATTATGTAAACGTGAAAATAGAGAGAAACATATAATATGTATGAGGTTCATTTGGAGAAACGAAAAAGAGAGTGTATAATAGGGCAAGAGTGAGGGAAAAAGAGAAGAAGCAAAAAATAAAATAAAAATAAAAACAAGCTCTGCGTGTGAGAGATCTTTTAAAGTAATAATTAATCTTAAGTTAACTGGGGGAAAGACAAAAAGGGGAAAAGAAAAGAAAAACTTAAAAAGAATAATTATAACACCCCTATCAAGCTAACAGTAAAAAATTTTGCCAGTTTGAGAAAACGTTAATTGAAAATAAAATATTACCATATAATGAAAAAAAAAATGTCTATTAAAAAAATAATATTCGGACAAAATTCGTAGAGTTGTCAGATTTCAAATCTTAATATTTCTAAATGTGAAACTTGGACCATTCTTTCTCAATCAATTGAAACTATAAGACTTATCTGTATCACAATAACTATATGAGCGATAACTCAAAAAGTAAACTATATATTACTTTCCACTTAAAATACTTTTCTTTAAATTTAAACTTCGTATTATTAGAACCCCTTAAATGAAACCTCTGTTTTGGAAACTCTTATTCCTCCAAGATTTAGCCTTCAACATCTTTAAGTTGGGTTCATAATAAGCACAATAATTCACATCATACTCAGAAAATACTTTCAAAATCTTAAAAAAAACATATCAACAAAAACTTATATAAATTAAAAACTTTCATTAAAAACCTACTATTATTTAAGTGATACAGTGGATATACTTACCTTAAACTACTTAGGGATAAAACTTCACCCGCATTTTTTTTCTCCTCTTTTCTTCTCATTTATGTTTTAGTGGCAATGAAACTCCACATTTATATAAAGATATATGATATACATATAATCTCCTATTTCTTGCATGGAGACATATAATCTCCTCGGTGGCAAATCATTGCTATTAAGATTCTAATATGGGTTCTAATTGTGCCACCTATAGTTTACGTGGAACTCACACAATTGTGAAGTTGCTTATTAATAATCAATATTGATTCCTCAAGCTTGTTTTACAATCTAATCTCTTTCAAGAATATTCAAACTTCATCATCACTTGATTAACGTTCCTATTTGACTAATCAACAAAAACCAACAAAATAAAGGGGAAAAAAATCCAACGAAATATTTGGTTGGAACTAACTAAAGGAGAAACTCATTCTTTTTTAATAGATGTAGTATAGATATATATCTATAGAGATATAAAGATAGTATAGATGTAAAAGAAAATATATGGGAAAGAGAATGTATAAAAAGTAATCAAGCAAGGACGAAAAAGGAAGACAAATACCTATTACAAACTTTCAAAAGAATTGTTGGAAGGAAAAAGCAAAAAAGTGAAAAAAAGAAAAGGACAAAGAGAGAAATGAAAAGAAAATACATTAGATAATTCTGAAATTAATATAATCACACAAATAAGATGAGAAATGACTATCATTGTCCTTAATAAATACTCACGTGTACGTCATGTGATCAAAATCATCAAAAATAAGTGTCATTTTTTATTAGACCTTAATTGCAGCGATTTAAAAATTGAAGGGATCAATTGACAAGGAAAAAAATAAAGACTAAATTATTAAATTTAAAAAATTAAAGGGTTGTCAGTACAAAAAAAAAAAAGAAGGTTGAACGAAACGTTTTGGAGCAACACCCAAGAAACCCACATTTAGTTATGTAGGTAGATTAACAATTTACTTTTACAGGTTTCAAAACTAAAAAATTATCACAAAGGTAGGTATAACATATAAAGTAGTATTATAGCTTTGAGCACACACAAAAAAAATGTCATTTTCACACTTTTTAGTGACAAACATGGTATTGATGTTGGCATTTGCATTGAGATGGTCTACGAGAAAATGGGAATCAAAACCTCACACGGAACAACAATTCCGTTATGTAGGTCAGTAGGTGGTCATTTTCATACAGTCAGCTTCTTCCTTCATTTCATCTCCTTAAAAACAGGGCATCCATATGATTTACATACACAATAAACCAAAACTGACACTAAACAAATACAACAAATCTAACAACCTATAGATTCAGTTTGTAGCAAAACTTTACAACTCATCTATGCAGATCAAGCAAAGGCTTTATGTCCAACGGGTTGATGAGCTGCCTTTCTTGCAAGAGCCACGAGGAGGAAAATGCAGCGGAAAAAAACAAGGTCACTGATGAAAGAAGCATCTTTTTATCATTCCCTCTTGTTTTCTTCTCCATCATCTTCCTCGTCGTCGTCATCACCAACATCCTTCTCTTTTCTCTCTTGCTTGACTAAGCTGAGATCACCCTCTGACTTTCCCCTTGTCAGAGACCGAGCTTCTTCATCATCAGAGTCGTCTCTCAGTTCCTCTGAGTAAGCATACCTGTGGACATTTGGCAGTGGATATCAGCATCATGGGGTGCAGGAAAAGTCACAATCAGCAAAATGCACCGTCAACTTAAGTATGAGAAAACAGCCACATTACTTCAACATTCATCAAACAATAAGTTGGGAAAAGGGGGAAAGAAAATATGGGATACAAACTTTTCCTCAAGAAAAAAAAAAAAGGAGAGAGATATATATATATGAAAATGTTAAATTTGTGCATATTGCAAACATGCTTCATATAGGTTAAGTTTGGTTCAATAATTCAAGGACGGATAACAACAGGCACAGAAGAAAATTTTCGTAGGCGTCCTACAAACTGTTGAACTCAAAAAGAATATGTGAATAACATGAGCACCGTATTTACTGCTAAAAAAAGGTAACACACCGTTGAGAACTCTGAGATGGGGCCCAAAGATAGCAGATAACACAAAGCAATGAAAACGCGAGAACGTCCCAGAAAGCAGTGATGATCCAAGCACTCTGCCACCTTTCGTTAAATGGGTCCGTCGCTTTGAAGTAGACCTGTGTAGTGAAGCATATCATATTTATTGTAATTACGCTTTGCAAGAACCTAAGAATTGCATAAAGATACTAAAGAAAATTAGTTCACAATAGTATAGGTATAGCCTGCATTGAAGAAAAACTAAAGAATTATGACAAACAGGAGTTTCACATTAGGGGGAGAAAAAGCTCGACAATTAAGTTGAACTGCATGCACACTTCGAGAATGGAAATTTTGAAGGGGATGTTGGTCAAGTTAAAGATGATGGATGAGATGGAGTGCATTGTGCAAGGAGTTAGCCAGTTCAAAGTACCTACAAATTGGAAGTGTTAAGAGATCGCCAAAATGTGGTGCAACTCAAAGAAAGGTCAACTGCAATAGATTAACGCGGAATGAGGAAAAGAGAGAGAGAAGAAGAAGAAGTTGTTTTAAGTGGGGTTTTTTTTGTTTTTTGGTAGAAAGGATTATTTCAAGTGGTGTTTGTCACACGCACCCCAACCTAAAGGTGCAAGGCTGATATCTAGTCCGTTTCCAGATCAAAAATTGATTTGGTTTTTTTTTTTTTTTTGTGATAAGAAACTGAACATTTTATGAATCAAGAAGGAATACAAAACATTCAGATCGATGAGAGATCCATCAAAGAGCGACTTTGGTAGAACTGCATAATTAAGAAAGATTCATAAAAAAAATAAAAAATTAAAATAAACGAAGAAGAAGAGAGATTAATGTTATGTAATTCAGAGCTATGTAATTCAGAAAAGAACTCATCTATCTTGCTGGGGACTAAGGCATTAGTCAGTTTACTAATAGAAATGTAATTGAAATTAGCTTTTTTTTCAACCCTGGGTACGACTGAAAGTGCTGAATATTTACAATTAAAAGAAAAGAAAGGCTTGTGTCACATAAGCATCTTCAGAACAACACGTTTAGACACCAAAAAATAATAAATAAATAAATAAAACCACCTAGTTAAGTATCCCACCTACTGCACTGGTAAATAAAGCACGACAATATCTTGTTTCTCAATTCAACAAGAAGCTACTAAGAGATGTCCAATACAGGCTTCTCATAATCTAAGAGAGAAGCTCATCGAAGAATGTATCTGTCAATCCAATGATATGAGATGTGGGTATACTACTATTGCACCTTCTGTTCCAAGCTCCAAATTTGGAATGAATAAGGTGCAAACTAATAGCAGTATGCCTTGGACAATTGTGATCAAGAATTCGATTGTCCACACCTAGGAAAATGCAAAGCACATACTTTCCATGTACATTTTAAACAGAAAAGGTTATTTATGTAGACCCAATGCTCCACTCGAAGAGGTAAAGAACAAAGAAAACACTCCTTTCATTCTAACCCTTCATGTCATTCTAATTCTATCAATACAGCATAAAGAAACCCTCCCTGAAGTAACCCACATCTAATTTTCTTGAATATAAAAATCAAAAGATAAAAATTACAAACTTCTTCACCATATACCTCATAAGTTATCCAGGTAATCGAGGCAATCACTGTAACTGCTAGTGCATTTGAGAACTTTCTATATATGTCCAACTTTACGGAGCTTCTCTTTGCCTGGAAAGAAAGCTAGTTTAGCTTCTGAAACTATGTGTAAGGAAATAATGAACGTGAAATATGAGAAAGCATTAGAGACTGCGATATAACAAAGGAAATTAAGTATCAAACTAAAAACAACAGATCGTTGGAGAAATTACCACACCTGTAACTGCTCTAGGGTTCTTGAGAGAGAGGTAAATATCCATAGTATCAAAAATGCATCCAGAAACGCATTAGGCAGGACTAAAAACAGTCTTGCTCGTCCAGATATGTCATTGATTGTTCCCACATACTCAGCAATATTCAGCAATTCAGTTGCCAAAAAATAAGTTATTCCAAGAAGAATCACCTTTGAGGTAAGACCACCAAGGGTGGGTCGCACTACACCATAACCCATTGAAACTGAGAGGATAAGAATGCGAGAGAGTGTTTTTCTAACAGCTCCAACTGTCACAACCCATGTTGTAATTGCAACAGGCCTCGTACCGGTATTATTAAAATGCACATACTCAATATGCCAAAGAATCATCTCGAACAAGCCAAGACCAATTACAGCCGCAATGCAATGTTGAAGTTGCAGAATATCCTTCCAAAACCTCACATACTGAGAGAACCAAATCACGCTGAGCAAGAAATAGGCAAGTGACATGTAAACATAAAAACTCATCAATGGAGCCATTCTACCAGGTAGAAAACCATCAGGGTTTTTCCATGACGTCTTTCCATTCATTGTTAGACCCTTGAGCTTTGGATCACATGCTACAAAAAATAAGTTATACATTCCAGTTTTTGTGATGGAAACCTCCTTATCATGCATGCGTGCAAATAGAGAATTCCCTCTGAACTGTGCACTCAAAACTATAGGCCAGTTAATCTCTGTTGCAGAAGGTATCCTAATGACTTCACCTTGCTTACAACCTTCCATCTTAGCAAGATCAGGAGTACAACATATAGCTCTTTGTCCACCATAAGCCGAACCACCGATATTGTTACGGTCAGCAGCCTCAAATATTATAATTTGTACCAACCCACTACGACGTCCCTTAGCAGCAGCCTTGCTTCTCCAAAATGTGATATTTTCAAATCTAATTGAGGGAAAAAAAGATGGTAAGAGATTGTGCGTGAAGGAAATTGATGAAATCAATAACTATTATGCAAAAGCATAATAACTTCGTCTACCGCAGAGAGCTAAATACTTTTATACACAAGTCTTACCAAGTCATCTACAGTGTGACACTAAGGAGAGTGGATTTGAACAACTAGTATAGTTCCATTAACCATAAACAAAACAAGACCATACATAAAAAGGGATTTTGATTTCAATGGAAACATGAGGTCGCTGGGAAACCAAGAAACGAGGCTCTGTCTGTTATCTGATTGAATTGGAGCCTCGTTTCCATATCAACACTGATTTTATCGCCATTTGTTATCCAAATAACAATTACGCTCCTATATACTAACAAGAGTGAGCTGCTTGAACAACTGTAACCAGATACCATCCTTACATTAGTGTTAAGAGGAGGATTATGCCCTTACTTATCCACTTCATCATTATTCGACTCATGAATAATTAATGGCTCGTTTAATTCGCTGATTCGAATTTTTAATTTGAGTTGAGATGTGACTTTATGTGAGAGTTTTTTACTGTAGTAAAAAAAATTAGATGTGACTGTTTCTGAGAGCTTTTTACTGTAGCAAAACTTGAATTTTAAACTCGAATCAGTGAAATGAACGGAGCCACCCAACGTATTTTCTTTTTTTTATATAAAAAAAATAGAGTTACATTGGCTATTATTTTGGCTACACTAGGGCTAGAGATATTAACATAAAAAATTAACTAAGTAAAGCAACAAGTGAGGAAATTTGGTTGGAGAATACCCATCATTAGGGATCATGTTTTTTGCTTTGAGATTTCTTTTTTATTCCCCACGAATTTTCACTCTTTCTTTGTTCAATCTCCAACCAATTCTATTCTATACAGTCACACTCTCCAAGACTTTTTTTTTTCAAGTCACCAAAATTTGAATTTCCATTCATTTCCTCCTATAAATCATTTTATGACCCAAACGGATTTTCAATTAGTAGAAAATGCATATAAGCTTTTTTACTAAATAACCGGTTGTACCCCATATTTCCAGATATTTGCATTTCAATTCATACATAAACAAAAAAAGATCAAAATAAAGAAAACAAAATCTGGTTACTCCATCCAAATTAATATAGAATGATTAAAGACATTGTGTGCATGTTTAGAACTATTTTTAAAACGATTTTCACCTATTTTAAAAAAATAAAAATAAAATAATATTTACTTAGTAAATATCTCACATTTCTATTTTATTTTTTTAATACTTATTAATGATATTATAATATATTAATTAATAAATACGATTTTATTTTTTATTATATTTAAAATAATTTTTTTAAAAATCAACTTGTAATTTTAAAATTAAATAAATTCTTAAAACAATAGCATTTTTATTTTTTGCAATTCAAATCCAAATCAAGCTCACAAACGCGAGAACAGATCTAAGCAAACACTGAACTTCAAATCTCAGAAATGGCACAAAATTGGAAGAGTAGAACCTGATATAGGAGCGGCCATCGTGGATCGAGGAGGAGGAGGAACCGTCGTCGTCGGAGAGAGAAGCGAGAATGCCTTCGCTGCCGCCGGAGAGGAGGTAAGAGTTGCCGACTTCTCGGAAGATTTGGTTGTCGTAGATGTGGATTGAGGCGTCGGTGGCGGTGATCAAAATGAGGAAGAAGAAGAAGAGAGCGATGGGGACGCCATTACAGGAGTTTTGGATTCTCAGTTCCATGATTTGGTTTAGAGAGAGAGAGAGAGAGAGAGAGAGAGAGAGGAAAGGGGGGCAAGTGAGGGAAAGGCAGTTGTTGGTTGGAGTGTCAGCGTAACAGTTGTTGTTGTTGTTGTGGAAGTGGAGAGAGGGAGAGTGTCGGAGAAGTAATGTAGCTCTCGGTGCTGTGTCGGCTGTGGATGGATGGAAGGAGGTGGGGTTTACGCGCGCTATTGCCACGTGCTCACCATATCACAGGTAAGCTCTTTTTTTTTTTTATTTAATCGCAATTTACAACAATGTCCTCAATTATTTTGGTACCGATATTTAGAATATAAACATTAAATTATTGTGTTTTTTTTTATAAAAAAAATACGATAAAATTCTTTTAGTACTTGTGCTATTGTAAAATATCTTGAATGTGCCATGTATTTTTTTTTGATAGTTTCTCAAATGTGTCATGTATTTTTCTTAAAATAAGAAATTTAAAAAAAAAAGTTTAAAACATTTAAAAATACATTGAAGATCTACAAATTTTTTTGTTACAGTTTGAAGATCTCCAAATACTATTTTGATTTTTTTATAGTTTAAAAAATTTCCTTTCTAATTAAATTAATAGAATGATGAAAAAAATATTTTATGTCTTAAAAATCAATTATTTTTAAAAAAATAAAGATATCATTTTAATAATATTAAAAACAGATGATATCTTAGGGATGTTTTACAACAATAGCAAGTATCAAAACGACTTTATCGCTAAAATGTATGCATTCCCTTGAAATATGAAATGTTATCAAAAAAAACTTTTTTTTGTTAAAGACCATTTAAGGAAAGTGACTCTCACGATAGCAGAGCCACTTATACTGGGTAGAACATTTGCCCCCATTTAATTTTTAATATTTCAAGTTTTGTACCTAGTTTTTCTTAAAATTTTCAATTGTGCTCCACTCAACTTTAAACGTTACGAGTTTTATATCTAAATTCTTTTACAATTTTTAGTTGCGCCTCCTATAATAAAAAAAAAAATTATAATTATGCCTCACTGTATAATTCAAATTTATAACTCTTATCTAACAAAAAAACCATCTCTTTTTGCATATAGTGCCTTTATTAGAAAATTTTCCTGGGCACTCCATATTAAACCCTTAATCGCTTATGGTACTTAATTTAGGGACATTTTGGTAATCAATTCTTATTTATAATCTAATTAAAGTTTGTTATCTAATTTAGATTTAAAACTCAAATGACGTATTAAAAAAATTAGAAGAAAAGCCATAAATCTCTTTTTTCTCTCATTTGGATAAGTTGAATATTTGTATGATCTTAAGGGGTAAAGGATACAAATTTCTCATGTCGTAACGACGGCCGGAGGTGATTATCAACGTCGAGGGGGCCGGGGTGGGCGCAAAGGGGGATCCCTGCCTAGAGACGAGAATCTCAACAAACAAGACACATAAAGACCATGTGTGGTTTAGTGATTATGACGCACTGTTAAGAAATTAGAAGTCATGGTCGTGTTTAGAATTGATACTGTTTTTGTTTTTCACGTTTTTTGAGAAAGAAAAAATGAAAAGATTTTCAAAACGGCGTTTGGTGCAATAAAAACAAAAAACAGAAATGAAAACGATTTTTTAGTTTAGTGTAAAATAAGAGAGAAATGAAAAATGACTTTTAGTTGTTTTTCATTTTTTATTTTCGTTTTCTCCTCTCGAGAGCATAGAGAGAGAAAGACATTAATGAGTTTTTTTATACTGAAAACAATCTCTTGATAAAACTACCAAACGCATTTTCAAAAATGATTTCTGTCTGAGATTGAAAACGTTTTCATTTTCATTTTTATACAAAAAATAAAATCATTTTAAAATGAGTTCTAAACGCGCCTCATATCTTTACTCTTTGAGATTTAAGAGATTAATAAATGGACTAACTTGGGATAATTATTTAGAACAAAGCAAAAGTTCTACAAAACGCAGTGGAAAGGATACAATTTTTCATTATTTTTTATTATAAAACCTTTGCTATTGTGTTACCGTATATTATGATTAGATGTAAATTAGTATTTGTATAATCCTCATACAAATAATTTCTAGATGACCAAGCATTCCAAATTTGTAATCTTCCTTACTATTCTTAAATCTAAAGAAGTCCCAACATTATATAAGATCAGGAAACTCAAATTAACTTCACATAAAGAGAATGACTTGGCTATAAATAGGGATAACAGAACGCTCTCAAGAGAGATTCATATATTCGCCCTTCACTCTTCATGAAATCATTCTAATTTTCGCGCTTCTCCTTTACACTCTTGTACTCAAACTCTCTTAGACAATTTAGTGAGACATTCTAAATACTACAGTGAACGCAATTCTTACATTCAGAGAGAATCGCTTAAAGAGTATGTTTGGTATAAGGATTTGTGTCATAATTTTAATCATAGTTTATGGTTCGTTGTTCACTACAGTATTTTTTCTCACAAAAAAATACACGTAAATCGAGAATGATTATGAATCATAATTCTGAATCCGTGAACCAAACGTCCTAATGTCCTTATTTATTGCCTCGTACTTGTTATGTGCTAGATCGCCTTTAAGTAAAAGGATTGACTTCTAATCGGCTCCTTATTGATCATAGATCCTACATACAAATATAAACGTAGGTTTCATCGTCTATGAAAATCCTTTAAACCATGTTGGAAGAATCAAATTAGGCCATGTATGTAACTTTGGCTGGACACGGTACGTAGCCTATTTCTAAATCAATTCAACCATCTAGCGAGCGAACTTATAAGGCTGTGTTTGAAGTTTTTTTTTTCACGTTTTTTGAGAAAGAAAAAATGAAAACAGAAGAGAAACAGCGTTTGGTAGAATTAAAGACCAAAAACGGAAATAAAAATGATTTTTTGGTTTAGTGTAAAATGAAAGAAAAATAAAAAAATAACTTTTAGTCGTTTTTTATTTTTTGTTTCCGTTTTCTCATCTCTTGAGTAAAGAGAGAAAGAGACATTAATGATTTTTTTTATACTGAAAACAATCTCTTGATAAAACTACCAAACGCATATTCAAAAATGAATTCTATCTGAGATTGAAAACGTTTTCATTTCCATTTTAATACAAAAAATAAAATCATTTTGAAACGAGTTTCAAACGCACCTTAAGATTTGAAAATACATTCAAATGTTCTCTACACAAGTATTTGAAAAAACAAATGTTACCAAGTACTACTATTTGATATTTTACATACTCAAATTGAAATCGAATCATTATCGCACCATTAACTATGCTATTTCTCTCGTTGTCCCTCAATTAATCAATCACTTATATGATCTCTGCGCGCGTTCTTGGAGTTTGGTTGTTATGTATATAAAACATGAAACTGAATTAAAAGCATGTGGTGTCTAACACTACTCATGATCACTTTTTATAAGCATTTTCACTTAAAAACTTATGTAACACTTGTACAACAAGTACACAATGCAGATTAGTTTTCAGTTGAAAAGACTACAGGTTCGCCTAATCTCTCCTTGGAAACCTGTCTTGACACCAATTTGGCCCATCTTTACCATTGACGCCACAAAATCTGGTTGGAAGAAGGGTCCAAACATTGGATTAAAGAAACCAAAGTAGGAGTCAATTATGCTTCTTGTTTCCACGTCTTCTCTAAGCTTGGCATCCGATTCCAATACAGCAAAACCACTCCTTATGTTCTGCAATATATGGCTGTCGAATGTCCGTTCGCTCCCTTGGTCGATCGGTAATCGTACGTTGACGTCGCCATTCGGAGGGCATCGCGCTTTCAACAGCGGAAGGAAATTAGGGCTGATGGCGGGGTCAGATCCGCCACCGGGAAAGAAGTTGTAGAGCCTGTCTTTCACGAAGAAGCATGCTGTGGTTCCAATTGTATGAGCAGCTGAAAGTCACAACGCCAAGAAAGAGGAAAAAAAAATTTAACAAAATGATATAAATTTGCAATTTAAATATGCAAATTTCCACTAGTGAGTTTTACTTTTTTTTTTCTTTTTTATGATATTTAATAGAAGTTTTCTTTCTTTTTTTTTACAAGCGATATTGAACAGAAGTTATTTGCAAGATTTGTACTCAAATTAGCAGCTTGTATAATATTGGGGGTTTTTTTTTTGACCTTCTGAATCTGTTATATTGGGGTTGTGATATATAATATATTTGTACATATACCTTGTGAACCTATTATATTGGGGTTGTGATTCTTCTGAATTAAATGAAAAAAAAAAAAATCGTAAACATGGCAGGAGAAAATGGCTGTAAATGCGTCTTAAATAGTAATGGTAAGTTTAGGATTTAGTTCAAAAAGGGGACAAGGGCTAATCTGATAAATACGATTTGTCTAAAATACCTCTTATTAAACGGTCATGTGCCTCACTCTGTAAAAATTTAAAAGTTTTGATGATGAAATGGTCAAAATTAATGGGACAAGTTGCATAGTTCAAAGAAGTGATTTGCAACATTTCAAAGTTTGAGGGCCAAAATGGAATAAGAGTGCATAAATCAGGGTTCACAGATAAGGTTGCAGAGATTAATTAAGACTTTCTTTAATATATAAAAAAAAAAGAGATATTTGCCATATGTCCGTGTCTGTTGTACACATATATTCCTCATATTATTCAAAAAGTGTTGATTATCGAATTTGGGACAAGTAGGTACAAGGGGTTAACAAATTGAGCACATCGATGAGATAACATGCATGTGCATGCCTCAGCCTCCCCCACGCGCCATGATCTATAACGAGGACGCGTGGCATTTAACACACAAATATATGTGTGCGTGTGTGTGTGTGTGTATATATATATATATATATATATATTATTGCTAATGTATATGTTTTAATCACACTTGACTAAGAATACCCGTGCCTGCCTTCGGAACCAGTACTGATACTCTAAAGACTAGCAGCTAGCACAGCTTGTCATGATTTTCTTCACACACACTTAACAAAGAATTTAATATGTTTTGTTTTCTACCAGCTTTTGCATGCAGAAAAAAGACAATTTCGTTGCAGAAACCATGCATATTCTATCCTAATAATTAATACATAGAGAAAATTTTATAGAACGTCTTAGTCACGTCATTTTTGTTAGTCATACGATATTAGAATATTTCCAAGTCCAGTTACACAAATAACCAACTTGGTTTCCACTGACTTTGCTTTTCTTTAGCACTAATTTCCTAAAAACGTTAAAAGTGACGAATGCACTTTTTTTTCCCAAAACTAAGTTGCGTATTATTAAAGCAACATCACCCTATTCATATGATCATTTGAAGCATTTCACCAAACACAGAGTCACCAAAGTGGCATGAGTGAGAGAAAAATAAAAGAAATCAGAGGCAAAAAAAAAAAAATACCACTTAGGAGTACAAGGTCTTTTTGAGTGAGTCCTTTTCGGAAAAACTTGCCCTTGAGTTGCTGAACTGAGTCATGAACATCCGGCATATCATTGGCCAAAAAAAGGTTTGAAACCCGACCATCTCTCCGACCAGTCGGCACGTCGTAAAACGGCCCACGAGCCTGTCCTTAAATACAACATATATATATATATATATATATTGCACGATACAAACAGAAAAAGACAGTAAATTTTATAGAGCCAAAAAAAAAAGGGAAAGAAAATCATAATTAAAAGAAAAAAAAAAAAAGAAAACCTCTTACAAAGGCAATAGCATCTCGAGCAGCTAAGGCGACAACGTCAGCACAAGAAACGACACCAGGGCAGACAGCCTCAAGCTGTGCTTTGGCTCTTTCTATCACGTCAAACCCTCCAACGCCTTGGTGTGCAAATGCATGTTTCTCGGCGTTTGGATTGTCAATAAGGATCGAACCATCACATCCCTGTTGTGTGTGTATATATATATATATATAACCATTTTTGTGTGCGCAATCCGACCCAAATTAGTTACAGTACAACAACGTTAATTACATGAAAAATAATTAACGTCAAAACAACTTAGTCATTTCGAGAGAGACGTATTACAAGGCATAATGTATCTGTATACCTCCACAAAGCAGTCATGGAAATGGAGGCGAAGGAGGATGGCCGCAGAATTGGCGTTGGAGATGACGGCGTCGCGGACGACGGCACGAACAATGGACTCGGCAGCGGGGCATGTTTCGGCGTAGAAGTTGAATCTAAGTTGGCCCTCGGAAAGACCAACTATCAAAGTGAAAATGAAGCTCAAAATCAAAGCTACCATATTGTGTGTTTGCTTGGTAGGTAGAAGTTTTGGAAATGAAAGGTTTGGAGAAAGAGGAAGAGAGAATAGATAACGGGGTAATAGGTAAAGAGATGCACCAAGTCAAGAAGGTTTGAAGCTGAGAAATTATGAAAGATAGTAGACAGCTTTTAAATTTGGAAGCTTTAATGAAAGTGATTAAGAGATCCTATATGTATTCAGAGCAAAAAATATAAAATAAAATAAAACAAAATAAGAGAGAGAGAGAGAGAGGGAGACCCTATATGTGTCATTCACACGTATAGGGTCTACACGAACTTTGTCTCCTTTCTTAAAGTCGTTTTTCCTCAACTAATTTCACAAAATTGGAAAAGTTAAAAAAGGTTAGAAACAACAAAAATACTGATAGGTGCTGTCTACACGGGATCCAAGCATGGGATAAATGGGCAGGGGGCAACTGCCCCTAATTGTATTCTCGCGGAAAAGGGCAAAAAAAAAAAAAAAAAAAAAAAAAAGAACATAATTGATGTAATTTTGTCTCTTCATTTTTTTTTTTTTTTTTTTTTTTTTTAAAATGATCATGGATTTGTAAGGCACCCCCCCCTAATTTTTTTTCCCGGGAAAAGGGAAAAAAAAAAAAAAAAAAAAAAAAGACCATAATTGATGTAATTTTGTCTCTTCAAGTTTTTTTTTTTTTTTTTCTATATCAGAAACTGTGTGAGATTAATTTGCAATATAACTAATCAAGTTCAAGAGCATAAAATGATCAATTCTAAGTTCACGTGAATACGTGTTCACTTGGTTTTTCTACTTTATTAAACAAGACATATAATTGGTCGTTCTGAAATGTATTTCCTTTTTAACTTAAATTAACAATTTTTGGATTTAAAAACAAAAAGAAAACCAGACCGTAATTTGTTTATTCTATGACATATGTTTTCGTTTTTGGCTACGAGGGAAAACGGTCAGTTTGATAGTTTGCTTGTCGGACAAGTAAGCCTCAGAATTTTCATTATAGAAGAGTCGTTGCAGTTCACCATGAATCGAAAAGCCTTGACAATAATAGCACAAATAATACCAACAAAACCAAAGAAATTGACTCTATTAGCAACTATAGAACAGTCAGTCCTTTTTGCCAGAAGTTCCCATATCCTCACAGAAATATGAAGGTTCAAACCCAAGAGATACAAAATAGTGTTTTATGTACACAATTCTCATCGTTTCAGTACTATTATATGTACCTTTCCATCCATATCTATATGCCGATAATTGCAGGCAAGAATAGAACCTGTAGCTGTGTCGCATGAACAAACTATATATTTGGGAAAATATGACTCTCAATTAACCTTTATTGCATGCTATATAATATGTTGAATTACCCTTGGGGTGTGGGGGAATGAAAAGAAAGAGTCATTTTAGTCAACTGTGGATCTAAAACAAGAGCAGTAATATGTGCATTATACTTGTATGTGTCCGGGGCCAGACTTCTCTAAGCAGTTTAGAGACTACTCGGAGCAAATTTCAGAAAATCCCGGCAATCTCCTTGAAGTTCGACCAGAGAGAACCTTATCGATGTATGCATTAACACTCTCTCTTGATGGAGGTTTTCCGGTTGAAGAACCTGGCAGAGCAACTTCAATCCCGTCATCCTGAGGCGACCAGTCCTTCCAGGCTATGGCAGTGCAGAGGGTGTTTGTTTTGTTTCTTGGTGTGGGGGGAGAGGGTGTTTTGATCGGAATCATTGATGTGGTGGTAGAGGGTGTTTTGATTGGAGTCATCGATGTGGTGGAAGAGGGTGTTTTGATCGGAGTTATTGATGTGGTTGGTGAGGCTTTTTTGGTTGGAGTCCTTGATGTGGTGGGTGAGGCTGTTCGGGTTGGAGTCACCGCTGCTTCTGTGAATATTGGTGGAATAACCCGAGGAAGAAAGAGAGAGTTTGGACTATAGGCGGTTAGTCCTGGGCTCTTATATGACCTGCGCGCCTGTGACTGCACATTCAACAATGGAAACAGAGGAATAAGATTCTGTGTGGCCTAACAAGAGTTGATAATTGTCAGGTGTTCTTGTAACTGGTGGTTACCTCAGTCTTGTTCTTGATGATCAGATGAGTTGATCGGAGGTCTTCTTTCCCAAGAACAAACTACCAAAGAAAAAAGGAATAGGGAATTTATCAACATGACATTACAATCAATGTCTGCAATGATCAGAGTCCATCCATCAGATAGCAACCAGGAAAAATCCCAAGACATTGCTTGTTTTGACGGTAAAAAGAAATCAACCTAAACAGAAAAAGTTCTGAGTCTAAAGTGGTAATGACGAGGAGATGCAGGACTGAAAAATGTTGTTCTCAAAATACAGTGGAAGAGACTCTTGGTGAAAGCTATAGAAAGAAAACTTAAAATATGAGTTAAACAAGCAAAGGAAACAGAAGAATAAAAAATAACAATATCCAGATGGCCAGATTTTGTAGATTGTGCTTTAGCCAAGAACTTAAAAGAGAGAAAATGGAACCAGACCTCTCAAGTGTCACTCCTTTGATAAAGTATGGCAGAACATGATGGAAATTGAAACATGTATCCTTGTAGAAGTTCTCTCAGCAAGCAATTTTTCCAAATTTATTGGTGATGCGAAACAATGATATCAGAATAAGCGATGTGACATTATCTTACTTTTTATTAAGATTTTTTTTTCTTGTGGAAACTATTAGGAGTATTATCTTTGTTATTGTTTGGTATGTATCCTCATTTGGTTTCAGTTTTTAATTTGAATTAGACCTCAATAGCTTACTAGTGAACTTGATAATTTGTTATCTGTGTGGACTTTGAATGATCAAACATGTTATTCAAAAGTATCTCTCACCTGTATCTATCTATCAAGCTTTCTTAATTTTTCTCTCTTTCTCCAAGTATAATTCATTCTCTCATCATCTTCCATCATCTGTCACTAACTCATTTTTAAGTTTCGTTCATTTCACCGATTCGAGTTTTCAGTTTTAAGTTTCTACAGTTAAAAACTTTTAAAAAATATCACATCTAACTTTTTTTGCTACAGTTAAAAGCTCTCAGAAAATATTATCTCAACTCGAATTGAAAACTCGAATCGGCAAAACGAACAGGACCTTAATATTAGCAACTCGAAACACTGCTAATATGGCCAAAACACAAGCCCCTTCAATTCATATTTGAAAAAAAGACAGTCTTTAAATGCTGATACATAACTCAAGAACTAAAAAGCTATTTCGAAATCTAGATGCGACTAAATGTTTGAAAAAGAAACAACAACAACAACAATAGCAAGTCTTAATCCCAACTTAATTGGGTCAGCTATATGGATTTTACTTTTCCATGCAGTTCTGTTCAAAAAAATGTTTGAAAAAGAAAGGAAAAAAAATCATTTTCCGCTTGTTTCATATACTCAAACTCAAATCATTAATTTTGCTAAAGTGTTTTTCTCACACAAAAAATTTAATTTCAAATGTAATCATGGTGTGAGTATCACAAGCAAATAAGTAACCACGAGCAAATAATCAAACTATCCAAAACCGAAGATCTGTAATGGAATTGTGTAACAGAGCAAACAAGGCCTTAAAGAACTAAAAAAGTATCACAATGAAAAGAATTTTTATTGTTTATTGTTTGTTACTTTCCCCTTCAAAGCAAAGTAGCAAACAATAAACTTCAACCAAAAAAAAAAAATTTATCACAATGAAAAGAATTTTTCATCTTTCTCCATATGGAAAACTTAAAACTCATTTTCGGTCAGTGAAGGTAAGAGAGAGAGACCTGGCGTTTGGAGCTGTATCGGCAGCTTCCAGAATCCTCCGAGGACCGGCAACTATCCGTCTTGAATAGACTCTTCCCAGCCGAGCCCGACGCAGAAGAGGAATGAGAACCAGAGAAGCTTGAAGTCCTCTTTCCTCCGCCGATCACCAGAACTCCGTCCATCAACAGAGTATCCTCCCCTTCCACCGCCTTCGCCGGCGTTCCGTAAACCGGAGGCGGCGGCGGCGGCGACGACCTCCCGATCAAGTTCTCCACAACCGAAAGCGGCGACAACGAGCCTCTCGGAACGAAGCAGCCGTCTCCGGCCAATGCGAGTTTTCCGGTGACTGGAGATCCAGAACACATGTACCTGATCAGCGACGTGTTCAGGTCAAGATTCTCGGAGTAGGAATCGAAGATCGTTGGGCTCACGGGATTGCCGTTGTAACGGCCGCTCCCAATCATCAAGTGGTGCGTTTTCATCCCCGGCGGAATTTTGATCTTCGTCGCTTTCGAGTAATTTCCACCACCGCCGCCATTGCCGATGCTTCCGTGAAAACCTTCCATGGATTAACGAATACGATTCACCACGTCCTGAGTTCAAGTTCTACACATTCAAATCGAAGCATTACCATCCGAATTTTGAATTTCCCGCCCAAAATGTTGAAGCGAAAATCTGAACGAATCGGAAATTCAAGAAACTGTTTTTCGGCAAAAGAATCCTAAAAATTAACGACCGAATCAAGCTGAAAGTCCTATAGATAATCAAGAAGAGCATGAAAATACGAAGAAACCTGAGATTGGAGATGGCGACTCGATAAGAGACTAAATATGGATGTCGAACTCTGATACTAAGGAATCGCTCTGTGACATTTCTCTGGAAAGTCCTTCTCAGAATCGCATCCAAATCATCTCAGAAGTTTTCCAAGGTCGAAGCTCTCTCTCTCTAAAAGCCAAACTCGAAAATTATACGCGGTGTGTCTAATGTCTATATATAGGCACGCATGACTTGGCTATTTGCCCTTAAAAGTTTTTTTTTTTTTTTTTTTTTTTATAATAATGTTGGGAAGGAATTATTGAGGTAAGTAACTTCTATAGTTTTGTACTTCATGTGTGTTGTTCTTTTTCGTGTGTTTTCTTGTGCATCTTCTGACTGTCAAACTTCATAGTCAGAAGCAGTTGCCCAATCGTTAGCCACTTGAAACTCTACCTCAAAAAAAAAAAAAAAAACCTCAATTTCTGTAATCTCTTTTTTTTAAAAAATAAAAAATAAATAAAAGGAATAGTATTTGAACATTACGATAAATATCAGAATTCAAAAGCAATACAAAAAAGTTGAGATTTTTATGGTTGGGTATGAAAAAGACCATACTCATAGTGCTCTATTTTAAATTATTAAGGCCCCGTTCATTTCGTCGATTCGAGTTTAGAATTCGAGTTTTGCTACAGTAAAAAGTTCTCAAAAACAGTCACATCTAACTTTTTTACTACAGTAAAAAGCTCTCACACAAAATCACATCTCAACTCGAATTATAAACTCGAATCAGCGAAGTGAACGGGCCCGATTCATATTTAGTGTTGTTAATTTTGCACACTCTTTCCTTTTCTTTTAACATTGACATGATCTTTATCGAATCTAAGGTTTTAAAAAATCCACTACAAAATACTATACCGCAGAAAGATCCAAATAATAGTTTATTTTATAACAAACAATTAAACAAAGTAACTTAAATCATGGAACAAAAAATAAGTGAGGGATTTTCGTGTACTCTTTCTGAACAAATGATAAACCTTTACTTTTTTATACACGTAACAGGAATACAGATGATTAGAACGTTATCACCATACAAATAAGTGTCGTTTTTCATCTTTAATGAGGATGACAAAAAGGTAGCATTTTACATCTTCATATTTGTGAGAATGAGCAAAATAAATTATAACGTATGTTTGCCCCGTTCTTTTCGTTGATTCGAGTTTTGCTTCAGTAAAAAGCTCTCATAAACAGTCACATTAAATTTTTTTGCTACAGTAAAAAACTCTCACACAACATCATATCTCAACTCGAATTAGCGAACCGGACGGGTAATTTCACTTAAACCTAGATGGACAAGAAGGGTGATGCAAATTACAAATTTTGTTGCCACTGAAAACCGAACCAAAACCCAAGTCAGTCACAGTGTGGCTTGAACTAAGCAATAAAATGCTTCTGTTTAATAAATCAATCCACCAATGGGGGTATAAAAGTAGTAATACATGGACCAAGCTCCACTGCTCTTTCCTTATAAGAGATCAAACCAACATCTGATAATCGTTTAGAAATCATTCTCGGTTCAAATTCGCTCAACTTTTTTACTCTTCCTTTGTGGTGAAAATTAGGACCAATACCACTTACGCAGTCTAATTATTCACATTTATCACTCTTGTGACAAAATTAAGCTAAATCTTTCCGTAAATATACGCATCGAAAGACATTGTGCAGACCGCTTTATTTTTCACGTTAACATTGTAAGGTCTGATTAAGCAGAAAAACCCAATTGAAGAATCCAGACTCCGTGAAAATTACAGCAGAATATCACAAACTATCAACAGAAACTATATACGAGTCGATGAACAGAAACCATAACTTATACACAATTACAAATTTCATCACCAAAATAATCCCAAATCCACAACAAAACCTAAAACTTTACACAATGCCTAACGCTTCATATTCCATCAATTGCGTTGTTAAGATTACCACCAAACAATGACATGAGAGGCCCGCCATGGACCCTTCCCTCTGGAATATCAAAGTCGAAGCTTTTCCTCCCACTACTGCTACCTACACCAATGTCAAACCTATTTCCTTCTGCCTTCTCAGCATTTAAGATGTTTGAATACGATGACGAGGACTTCATCGATAAAGGCACCAATACCTGCGGGGGTATTAGTTGTCGTCTTTTCGCTCGCTTTTCAAGTGAATTGATGCAATCAGACACGACGCTGATTCCTGAAGTAGAATGGTTGTTGCTGCTCCCTGCTGTTGTTGAGGCTGCAGATACAAGCCCATGAAAAAGTCTGGGACCAATAAGACCTCCCTTGCTCAACTCTCGCTCCTGCGCCATGCTGCTGTGAGCAGCACATAAACCACTCTTGCCTCTCGCAAACTTTTCACATTTTCCCTCGCCCCAATTGCATCTCTTCCCTCCACCATGGGCCTTGCAAAAGTCTGTGCTGCCTTGGGCACTTTTCCCGCAATTCTCATACTTGCACCGTTTTCCTCCCCCATGCCTAACACAGCAATCAGTGCGTCCCCGTGCACTTTTTGTGCAGCCTGGCACAGCACATCTCTTCCCGCCACCATGAGCAACACAAAAGTTTGTACCCCCGTGAACACTTTTTGGGCAAATCCCTCCACCATCGAAAAGGCAACGCTTTCCCCCACCATGTCCCTTGCAAAGGGGCGTGCTCCCTTCAGCACCCTTGGTGCAGCCTTGAAATATGCAACGCTTTCCACCACCATGTGCCTTGCAAAACATAGTGCTCCCTTGTGCACCCTTTGAACAACCTTGAAACTGACAACGACGTCCACCCCCGTGAGAGATGCACAAGCCAGCCTGTCCTTCAGCACTTCGTGCGCATCCCTCAATCTTACATCTCTTTCCACCGCCATGTCTGATGCAAAGCCCTGACCTTCCCCGTGCAGCCTTGGTGCACCTTGGATGCCCACATCGCCTACCACCACCATGGGCAATGCAATAATCTGTTTTCCCCTCGGCACTTTTAGTGCAACCCAAGTGCAGACACCTCTTTCCTCCACCATGGGCCTTACAGTAGGCTGTTCGACTCTCAGCACCCTTGTTGCAACCAGGTTTTTGGCATCTTTGTCCACCACCATGACCAATACAGAGACCCGATGCTCCTCGTGCTCCCTTTGTACACCCCAAAAAATTGCATCTCTTAGGATTACTGGTTCGAAGGTCTGAGTTTGTCCCAGCTGTTTCCTGCTCAGACATAGTATCCACAGAATATTCTACAGAAAGAGATGGTTCACTTAGCTGGGATTTGCTCTGACGCTCCAGAGGACCTCGTGACTCGAACGAAATATTAAAACCATCCATTTTTGGAGCCAGAAGTAGTGATGGCATATACCCACCTGATTTCTTTGCCGAGGTAGAACCCTCATCAACGACTGGAATCAAGTGTTGGTTTTCTCGGGGAGATACTTGGCCTGGGATATAAGATGTATTCACATCAGTCTCTGATGAGACAGAAATAGTCGAAGTTTCTTTACTCCCCCCAGATAGGCCAAGTTGGAGAATCGAATCACCATCAGATGGAAAACCCAGAGGCTGTACAGTGGATAATTCTTTACTCCTCTTCAAGGGAAAATTGTGATAATCATTTGAGTATGCACTTGGTGTCGGTCCCAGTCCAAGTACCAACCTGCAGCCATCATCAGGAGCATTGGAGAAGCTAACCCCAACATTGCTTTGATACCTGGATAGGTGGCTTCCTCCAAACCCAGGGCAATTCAAGCATAGAGTGGTATCACGACTGTTGTCATTTTTGGTGAACTCACCATCACGAGGAAACAGAAAACTATTCTTGTTCAGATCCATTTTCTGATAGTGTTTCTAATGCTAAAAAGGCCAACTAGCAGAGTTCTTTGTCAAAGATGCTATTAGCGGGTCTAACACATGAGAACTAGATGAACAAGTGGGAGAAATGAAAATAAGCCATCTCCACCACTAACAAAGCCAGATGTATCTGATCTGTCCATTTTAATCTATGCGAGCACCAAAACCAACAGATCTTCAGAGTTTTACTTTATTAAATATCTGACCACGTTTCTAGGGTAGAAGCCTTTTATAAGAATGTTTAATAAGGATGTACAAAGATCTCTGGAGCTTCTGGTGCTCCAAACTAGAAAATCATCAAGCTTCATTAACCCTGAAAAGAAACGGGGAAAAATCTGATGTTAGAACGTGCTACAATGCCAAAAATGCAAACCAAAATCACTAAAACTAATTCACCATCATTCAATTTGAAATCTAGGAAGCAAAAAAGCAAAATACTCGACATATCAAAACAGCCATATAAAGTAAAATGTGCATGGGGTTGAAAAAAAAAATTCCAAGACAAAATTCCAATATTTTCCTCCGCTATAATTGTTCATGTAGTATTGTTAATAATAATAATAATAATAATAATAATAATAATAATAATAATAACAACAACAACAAATAATAGAAATTTCATTAAGTTACCAGAGAAAAAAAAAAAGAAATGATTTGAGGATCAGTGGTGTAAAATTCTACTAAGAAGCGTGACAACAGAAGCAATTGACACTCAAATTATACAAAAAATAGCTGAAATTTCTTAAATGCAACAAATCCATGACCCAAGAAATATAGCACACACCCAGGCCCAAAGAAAACGCCAAACAAAAAATAACATGCACAAATTTATAAAAATAAACAAATAAATAGTACTAATAATTTCCACATTGTTAGATTTACAGGAAGCAAATGGACTTGGCAACGATACTTTTGAATAGCAGAAATAAAAAAAATAATGTGTTGATTCATTTACATGCCAAATTGCTTCATGCATATAACTCTCGTGTCTGCTGAAGTGGATGAATAATTGATTTTCAATAGTATCTTTTCTTCATCGAAAGGCGCCCTACAACACTACCTTACCACTTTTTTTTTTATGAATAACCTTACCACTTGACTAGTGAGGGAAAAACTCGATACTAACAATACATTAGGAGTTTTTGGCCTGTTCGTCAAGCTTTCGTGTACTACTTTCCCAATTATTAGAAGAAACCAGCCATCAGACAAATTAGCAACAACCTTATAGACGAGAGTTTATTGTGCCAAACCAAATTCAAGAAATTTAAGGTGCACTAAAGCACAAATGAACTGACAAGTCAGAAGTTTAATAGGACATAATCCTCATTTAAAATCCTCTTTCTCAATCAGCGCTAACGTGAATGAAAATGTTTTAATTGCTGAGATCGAAAATCTGTATACTACCATACTTGAATAATTAAAATGAACTAAACAAAAGTGAGAGGAAGGGAGTGAAACCATACAAAAACAAAAGTCAGTGCTTAATTATATTTAGAGAGAGCAAAAATATCTACAACAAGATATCTTGCCATAAAGAGTTGGGTAGAAAGGGCGTACTGGGAATCAAAACAAAGGGAAAACATTAGAAGGTGAAAAAAAATTCTCTATGACTTGTGGTAATTTAAGAAAAGGAAGGTCATAATACCGGGTACTATGAGGACTTCCTATGGCCACTATATGTAAAACTCACGTAGATATATTGGCTTTCAAACTACTTTATGTGGTTTGGTTTCTGCTTGAAATAATTAAACTTCACATTGTTACTTCTCTTTCATTCGCGTTTTTTAGAAACTTAACCAAATGACTTGCGTCATAAGGCTACAAGTCTATGACTTCCATAGAGAGAAATGTACACCTACAGTGATAAGTCAAAGTTATGGCAAATTAAGAATGAAAAAAAAAAATCGTGAAAAAGCATTCCTTTTTCTGATAAATTCAAGGATTAGGAAATCAGCAAAACAGTTGTATACCCCATAATTCTTCAATGAATTCACAGTCATGTTTACATACTACCAGCTGCACCTACTATCTGCTTGCAACATGATCTCTTTGCATAGTCAGTACTCCAAATTATCTGCTTTTCCACAAAATTGAGATAATAAATACAGATATTTGGACAATTAACTTTTTCCTAGAAGCAATATGGAATAAAACTGCATAAGAATGAATAGTAATTTATCATTTTGCATAATTAACATAATACTATTTAATTGATGTAGGACACAAAAGATGGAATCCAAGTCAAGTGACTATAAGATATTGTTGTATGGAATTGTTTGAATGTTGATCTTTTAAATTCCCTATATGCTGGATGCTTGTCCTTTTTTTTTTTTTTTTTTTTTTGAGAAAAAAAAGGAACTGAATAGGTATTCAGTCTAGTTAGTTGTTAGAGAATTCTAATAGCTGTAAATTGTCGAGTCTCAAAAGTCATAGATATCGGAGTATTTACTGACAATTTTCTTTTCATTCAAATAAAATTCTCCCTTCAAGAACTTCTTTTCTTGGCAGATTCCCTAATTATCTTCTTGGGTTAGATGGAGATCTTCCCATTTTCTTAGCTTCATGATACATCAAATGCCAATATCATTGATTCTTTTTTGTGCAGTTTTATTTTAAGAAATTCCTATATAGGCCAGAGTTTTGATACAAATATTGGGCTATGGGCTAAAAAGGCAAGAAAATGGCTTTAAAAGGTTTCTTCATAAATGTGCGCGTTTATAGGTACACAAAACAAGGCCACAAACAAAAATAAATGCTGTGGGAATGCATACAAATGGTGGAGATCTGAAATTACTATCCCACAAATAGCTTTAAACCTTTGAACTTAATTTTAAAGAAAACTGAAAATTCAATTCTGTAGTAATTTCTTAAAAAAAATTAATTTTAGTTATCAGATGAACACAACAGACACAAAAAAAAAACAAAAAAGACATAAAATAAAAATCATCAGAATAATAATCCAGATCGGCTTACATAAAAATTATCAATAATCTTAAATTTTTGCAAATGAAAATAAGGGAGAAGAAAGAAGTAAACACCAAGAAAACCCAATAAATCTAACAAAAAAAAATATAAATTCATTCGCCGTCTTCAAAGCCCGAAATTAATCTCATAGAAATGAAGACCAAACAAATATCCAAAAGCCACAAAAACCTATAAAGAAAAAAAAAAAGAAGCAGAATCAAAAGAACACACGGAAACTGAGAAACAAAGAGAATAAAATAGTCGGTATACCGCGATGAGAAGTTCAAAGGAAATTCCGAGAAAGTCTTCGGATCTGAGTGACCGCCTGAGACATAATCAGCTTAAGAATTCTTCAGATGAGCGAGAGAGAGAGAGAGAGAATCAGAAGTAAGAAACAAAGAGCAAAATTGAAGCAGAAAAACACAGAGGAGAGAGAGAGAGAAGGAAATTGGAAAAAGGGGTAATTAGGAATTAGGGCGTTACTAAATAATAATAACGCCACAGTTTTTATTTGGGAACTCCTTTTATGCACTTTGAGCAGCCCCTTTTAGTATCTCGATATTTTAACGGGGAAACAGATTACAAAAAGACGAAAATAGCCTCGAACTCAGCGAGCGTGACCCACTGTCGTTACCCTCACGAGCCGTGGGGCTTCGATTTAGACGACGCAAGCTTTTTGCGGAAAGCGACCGGTTATGTGAAAAGTCTTAAATGCCCTCTTTGGAAACGGTGGGTTTTAGAGTGACGGGGGTAACTTGGTCTTTGTAGGTTAATGGACCTTTATTGGCTCTTAGCCAAAAAAAAAAAAAAAAGAGTGGGGTGTGCGTCGAAAAAGGAGTGGCTGAGGTGTGAAGGCGGTGGCTGTCGTACACGTAGGTGGTTTCCCGTATCAGAAAAGAAAAAACAAAAGGACAGAGCCAGGAATTAATAAAAGAATCTGGTGAGTGGTGCTGAGCTGGCTAATGACGCAGCCTATGGCGTGGCTTTTGATGGCTTCTCGGCTCGGCTCAACTTGTCTTTAACCGCTTTATTTTATTTAGAGAAAATTATTAAACTTATTTTTAAAACGTGAGTCTAAATTTTTACTATTATTTGTAATTAATATCATTTTGATTAATATAGTTATTTGATTAAAAAAATATTAATTAATAATAATGAATAAAAATTTAAATCACGCACTTTAAAGAATATTTTTCTCATTTTTCTTTTTATTTATAAAAAATCTAAACCATACACTCTAAAAAATATTTTTCTCATTTTCCTTTTTATTTATAACTATTTAGAAAATGACATAGTTTAATTGTAGGTTCAATCAAGAACGAAATTGTCAAGATGAGCACAAAAATAAGAGGACTAAATTTCTAGGTTCGTTGATTCGGGAACTAGTGTGTGACTAAGTTTAGAAGGCCACACCTAAGTTCCCCACATTTTTCTTATTGTAGAATTCTCACATTATCTCTCAAGCTTTTTTTTATGTAAAATTTGGTACACTCTCTAATCTTTATACTTTGTATAACTTGAATAGATTTTTTCAATGTATGTTTCTTTTATGTTTTTGTATTTATAGTCCAAATTGCCGTGTTTATAAGTGGTAGCAATTATTGATATGTTTCTTGTTATGATAATGTGGCTCTCTCTCTCTCTCTCCTCGCCTAGATCTTAGATCTGACTATCGCCTTATTATCTCACCAACTTGTGATGAACCTCCACTGACGGCAACAACGAAATCTCCACTGTTATAATCAACAAGTATGTGTGACAGACTGTTGTAGGTCCAACGAACCAATTCACAATGAGCTCATTGCTACAGAGTTCTTATTGGTCAGGTGGAGAAAGAAGATGAGATATCAGTGAAGAGATCGGCTATGGCGTTGACTTCACGTGTGGAAGTAGAGTGACGGTGATACAACATGAAGAAAATGATCTCTCAACTCTCTGAACTATGAAGATCGCATGGCTCGGCAGCTTGATGATTTGGGAGCGAGGTTGGAGGCGCTATGGTCTAAGCTAGGTAGGGCCGCGATGGCGGGTGGTGCACTAAGAAAAGAAAATGAGAACAGGGGGAAAGAGGGGAAAAAGTAAACATTTTTTTTTTTTACCATGTATGTATCTAAATATTATATTGTTGAATTTTATATTGATCACTTCACACTTTTGGAAGAAAATAGAGGAAAAGTAAACATTTATTTCTTTATGGGGAGATATTTACCTAGTAACTCGGACTTGTAAAGAGTTTTGTCCTCTTTTAAATGAATATTTTCAATAATTCGTTCTTAGTCAACTAATAATTTTAACCATGAAAATGACAAAATCACTTTAAAAAAATAGAAAAAAAAGAGAAAATTGTTGAATGTATCATTATTCTTGATTAATATTCTTTTGACTAATATAATTATTTGAGTAAAATGAGTATTTTTTTTCTTTCCTAAAAACACAAACAAACAAGCTTTTTTCTAATTTTAGAATTTTTATATTTTTTCTTTTTCTTTTATTGTTTTCAATGGTATTTTAACCAATATAATAATCAAAATTGACTTCATTACAAAAATATACATTTACAATCTAATAATATGTCTTGCAACAATTCAAAAACAAAGATGTAGTTTTAGAAGAATCCTTAAAAAAAACCACAAATCATTTAATATAAGTGAATAAGAATATCGTCCCACGAAGATTGTTGTTTACTAATTACCAAAATTATATTAACCCTAATTTTATTTAAATAATTGAAAAGTGAGTTTATAAAATTAAGTAAAGTAAAACTAAAACGATTAAATAAAGAATAAGAAAGAAAAAGAAAATTCAAAAACATTAGTGAGGCACGTGCGGCTTCATGTCAGCCGCGCGGCTCAAGCTGAGTGGTTTGGGCTTGGCTTAGAAAGAGGGGGGAGACAGCCGCCTTTGAGTTTCATCCCCACTGCCCATTCGCTGCATCCACAATCTAGTGCAATTCGTCGATTCCCCACCAATTCAACACGTGGCATTCTCCAAGTGGCTGCCACCCCAGAATTGCGATTCCCCCCTGACACCTTTATAACGTTTTTTTTTTTAATAATACCTTTATTACGTTCGTTAATCCCTTAACCGCCACTTAGAGAGAGAGAGAGAGAGAGAGAGAGAGAGAGAGAGGTTCAAATTTTGTTTTAGTTTATTTATTTATTTTTTAAAATAAAAAATTTGGTTAGGTCGTTTGTTTGGTGTTTCTGTGTCTGTCGTGTGGTTAATGCGTGCGTATTCCGCCGCGTTTCGAGTGCGTGTGCACCGTCGTTTTGGACCCATTTTGCTTTTCTTTTTTATTTCTTCCATTTGTGTTTTTTAAGACCCATTTTATTTCACTAATTTGAGTTTTGTTACGTTATAAAATTTTTAAAAACAGTCACATTTATAATCTGTTTGGTTGGAGGATTCGTTCTTCGATTCGAATCATGGTTCATGATTCGCTACAGTATTTTCTCTCATAAAAAATACACGTAAATCAAAAATAATTCTAATCTCATGGTTCTAATCTATGAACCAAATGAAAATTTTTTTACATAAAGTTATATATCAACTCAAATTAAAAACTCGAATAAACAAGCTGAACGAGCCCTAATAGCCCGTTTAGTTCATGGATTAAAACTATTTTCAATTTACGTATATTTTTTATGAGAAAAAATACTGTAACAAATTATGAATCATGATTCAAATAAAAGAATGAATCCTCCAATTAAACGGGTTATAACCTTCACGGAGTCTTCTAAGAACAAGATAAACAAAATGACTGACGTCACTCGCTACGCGACGAAACAACACCAATATCGATGTGTTCAGCCACGTGGCCGCTTGTGACTTGCTGACGCTATTTACTATAATTCAGAACTACGGTCCACGCGCGACGCAAATCACAGGCACAGCCGGACGAAGGGCGTCTGTGTAGCCTATAGATGCCATTCTGTGGTTTCTTTTTGTTTTTGTTTTTTTTTGTTTTAGATAGATTTTTTTTTTTTTTTGGAAATTTTCCAATAGAATTACAATTTACGGTACATCTCAATATTTTAATGTACAATCAAAAGAGATATTTTATTTGATACATATATCTCATTAAATGATAACAAAACAATGCATTAAATTCAATTGAATTTGATAAAAATCAGAAGATAAATATGATTTATCACTTGTAGAGAGATTTTGTGTATCCTAATATATAACTGTTAAATAATTTATCAGTATATCTTGTTTTTAAGGAAATTCTCATGTATGTTGAACAAAACAAAAGTATACTAGGAAATAGAGAACTCCTTGAACCATTAACTTCTCAGCAATATTGTTTTCTCAAAATAAATAAATAAAGCTTCTCAGTATTTTTTGTTTTTTAAATAGTATTTCTGTTAAGCGTGTAATTAAACACTATGGTCTCATTCATTTTGTTGATTCGAGTTATCAGTTATAAGTTTTTACAGTTAAAAACTCTTAGAAAATGTCACATCTAACTTTTTATGTTACAGTTAAAAGCTCTAAAAAAATGTCACATCTCAGTTCGAATTAAATTTTGAATCCGCGAAGCGAACGAGACCTACATGTGCAAAGCCTCTTATGTGCTTTCGAGTCTTCGACATATATTTATCATTTTTTAGAATAAACACTTATATTTCTTTATTTTTGGGAGAATTTCTAGATAGAATATGGAAAAAAAAATTCTTGTTGTTTGTGAATGTTTTCAAATCATCATACGTAGCTTTTCATTTCTCTGAAAGAAAAACACTCTTTTGGATATAAATTTTTATTAATTTATTAAATAGTTTACAATATAATTGAGAAGTTCCCTTATTTATTTATTTTTTTAATGGAAAGACCTCCTTTTATTCAATAACTAGTATATCAGTCATTACAAATAAGCTTATAAATCTAGGACAAGAGCATTGACGAAGCCAGACAAAATTTTCAAGAGGAGTTGGAATTAAACCAGAAACTTTTAAATGAAATTAAGTGTGTAATAGGGTATTATTATAAGTAAAAATTAAGAGTGTAAATGAAAATTTTTTAAATGTTCTACACAATGTATAATTAAAAACCATTAAAATGGCAAAATAATATAAATTGTGAATCAAATTTAAGGATGTAAATAAAAATTCTTAAAAATTTAGCATAAAGCTTAAAAGTGAAAAATTTTAAGGGGGTTAAACAAGAAAAAAAAACAAGGAAAAAAAATAGGGCAAAACAAAAAATTTTCGAATAACAATAAAGAAACTAGTTGAGAATCAGGGGCTGTAGCCCCACTTTCGGCCTTAACTAGCTACGTCCCTGAACAAGAGTCCATCCAACAAACATCAAGATGTGGATTCATTTGGTACGATAATTTAAATTAAGATACTTTTAATTATGATTTTGGAATCATAATTATGATTTATGATTTTTAGTTTAAATCATGATTTTGAAATCATGATTCAGAATCAGGAGTTTGAATCAACTTGAATCAAGAGATGGATGATTTTAGAATCATGATTTAAGCTAGTTTAAAACGTCACATCAGATTCTGAATT